TGTTCGGCTAAGCACCAAATGAAGAATGGTGGACTATGGTGCTCAGATTGTCTTATCTAGCTCTAGACCTGAAGACAACCAACCATGGCACCAAGATTTTCAGGTTGAGCACCAAATGAAGAATGACGGGCTGTGATGCTAAGATCATCTGGTCCCGTCCGATACATGAAGAAAGCCAGTCATGACACGAAGATCACCCGACTAAGCACCAAATGAAGAACTGTAGGTTGTGGTGCTAAGATCAGCTAGTCCAACCCAAGACCTGAAGACATCCAATTGAGATGTCAAGATCGTCTGATGAGCACTAAATGAAGAACAACGGACCATGTAGCTAAGATCACCCGGTATAACCCGAGACATGAAACAACCAGCGTGCCTAATTGCCCAACTAAGCACCAAATGAAGAATAGAGGACCGCGGTGCCAAAATTGATCTGTCAAACTTGAGACATGAAGACAGCTAGCCATGGCACTGAGATCCCCTGACTGAGCATCTAATGAAGAATGGTGTACTGAAACACTAAGATAACCTGATCCATCCTGAGACCTGAAGACAAGAAAACCACGATGTCAATATTACCCGATCTAGCCCGAGACATGAAGATAGTCAGTCATGATACGAATATTGCTCTGTTATGCATCAAATGAAGAACGACAGACCGCGGGCCCCAAATTGCTCTATCTAGCCTAAGACATGAAGACAACTAGTCATGGCGCTATGATCGCTCGACTAAGCACCAAATGAAGAATGATGGACCATAGTGCCAAGATTGCTTAGTCAAGCCTAAGACATGAAGACAACCAACCGTGGTGCCAAGATCATCTTACTGATCACTGATCCTGATATTTTTATTTGTACGGATTTATGAAATTGACACCATTACTTAAAGATTTTAATCTCCAAAAATGGCGCAAAAAAACTTGATCCCAAGAAAAGTAAGATTTCAATTATATTTTCAAGTAGTAGAGATTCTATGCAAGTATACATATCGTTATCAAGTAATGCATGACTTTCTGATTAAGCCCCGAATATCTATCCCACGGAGATTAAGTTTAATCATATCTGCTTTCAAGAGAAGTTCTAGTCTAGAATAACACACCCTAGCTTGAATGATCGATAAAGTTTTGATTTTGATTATATCCTACAATTATCACTACAATACTACTTCTACTTCTAAACTAAAATACTTATAGAAAATCAGAAAGTGGAGTTTAATAAATTAAAAGTACCCTTCCTCATACAATGAAATTAGTGATATGTATAAAAGTAAAATAAGTAGGGAGAGTGATTGTGACAAATAGGAGCAATTATATTCTTTACCCTTACTAAAGATGCTATAAAGAACATTGGTTAATCTAAAGTTTGAATAGTTCTAAAGATAGGTTAGGCAGGGAAGATACTAGCTCTCACTCTAGAGTTCCCTCCTATCCCTCCACCTGGAGGCTAACATCTCACATCAAACCTAGAACAAAAGACCAAATTATAAGGCTTTAACTTGTCACTCTAAAGACCTCTAATTCTACAAACATTAAATTATATCTCACTATTTATTTGCACTCAATCATATGGACTACATTCTCATCCATATAATCTCATGTGATTCTATCACATTTGATTGAGACAATACCATCACAGATATTACATGTTCTCACAACAGATTTTAACATTCAAGTTGATCAAGTTTACATGTAAATGAAGAAAAAAGTAAAATAATCACAATATATTCTCACTCTACTCAATTATATATCCTACACATGCATACTAATTCATTGTAAGAGGGAAGAGTAAAGAAAACTACTCACTACACCTGGAGAAATAACATGTACTTTTCATTGAACAAGACTTTGAAACCATACAAATAAAGTACTAAATTCAAATCAAAATACAACGAAAATACTTATCTCTGATGGAAATTAAACTCTTCTTATATAGCAAAAGCAATCTCCTTACAATCCTCTCCAAGAATAAAGTGAAAAGAAAAGAAGAAATTCTCACTCTCTCTCTTTCTCTCTTTCTCTCTCACCTTGTCGCCCCACTTGGGGCTCACGCACAAGACTTCTTCTCCTCTTCAAATTAGTTCAAGAGTCCAAGAGTCCTTTTTAAAAACATTTTTAAGCCTTATTTATAATTTCCCAAGAAATTCTTAAGTGTCTCTTCAAAAATGTCCATATTCATTAAATCTTCCAAATGGCGCCTCAAGTGCCTCTTCAAAACTCCTTATAACCACCCTCAGATCCTTCTAGAAATTATCTTTTATTATTTCCAATGAATTCTCCAAGAGACACATGAAGTGTAAGCACCGCTTCAAAAATCATCCAAATCCGATGTATATTCTAGAAGATATGTTGAAAACTGTTTTTGGCGCTTAAGCGCCGATTTTGGGCTCTTAAGCACCCTCCTCTCTGTCTGGTGGTGCCTAAGTGTCATTTTGGGCACTTAAGCACCGAGCACAGGCACTTAAGTCCCTGGTTTCAGCTCGCATGGCTCTGGTGTGCCCCGGTTCGACCCAATTTGCTCCGGGTTGCTCCGTTATGGTCCATTTTTGTTCCTTTTTGCTCCAATCACTCCAAATTCTTCAATTTGATGTAACTACAACCAAAAACACAAGAAAACATACCTTTAAAGTGCAATCTTATTATAAAATTTAACATAAAAATAACACTTTTTTAGGCACATCAAACAAATCTTAATATTTTCAAACAATTCGAGCATTTCGAACAAATCAAATAATTCAAATAATTCGAACAATCAAACAATTTAAACCATTTAGATAATTCAAACAATACAAATATTTTAAACAATTCAAATTTTTTTCGAACAAATCAAACTGAATATGAACAACACCTTTAACAAACAATTTCAAACACGAGCTTATTTCAAACACAATTAAATTCAAACGAACTAAACAAGAACACAAGCTCTGTTCATTTGTGTTCGGTTCGTTTACAACCCTAAAGAAGCCTCCCAAGCACAAATCAAAAGCCGACAAAGTCCATAGTAACAAGATAACCTAGTCCAACCTAACTTTAGAAATTACAATCTAAAGGCAAGACTGTAAGACTAGGAGCACAGTTATAAGATAACATGTTGTGACACTAACTTGTGACTTACTAAAAAACCATTCATTTGCATATCTATAAAATCTTTCAAATCAGGGAAATGCAACCGATGAAAACAAAGAAAATAAACAAGACAAAAAAGGAATAAGATGAGATAATAAATTATATTCATTTCCTTAAAAATATCTACAAGTCTTTTTCTAAATACATAAATACCCATCAGCCCATCTTGGTCGTATGGTGTCAATAGTTCTTTAAAACAACAAAAAAGAACAAACATATACAAAAATCTAAACAGTTGTAGGCCCAGCATCGCTATCGGTCCCTTCCCCTCTGTGCTTATTCGCTTTATTGTCAACAAAATAGGTGAAGATGGAAGCAAAATTATCCATGTTGCCCGATGTCGGCACTATTTTTGGTGTGGGGTTTGC